CAAATTTACATCTCCTTCTATTTCTTCTTCTTCTTCCTCCTCTATTATCTTTGTATTTTCTAGCATCTTTTTTATCTGCCATATGTAGATACTGCAGTTGGGCTCAACATCATCATATCGGTGCAACAAACCATAATTAGAAAATGGTACATATTATATGTACATATTTATATTAAATAATTTATAATTTATTTATATTAAAATGGAATATTATATAGTGTGGGAGAAATGGTACGAATGGCTAGATGAGAGAGATAAAAGGCAAGGGAAGATCAAATAAGGAAGATATAGGAGTAGAAATGTAACAACACATAAGAGGAAACAGAAAAAATGCAGTTTGTAGAAATGAAATTGTGTACACTGTTATTTATATGTATATATGTAAATAAATCAATATTAACTTGTATGTATAAAGGATACATTGAAATAAAGGAGAAAAAAATGAATAAGTAAGAAATGTTTAACCTTTGCGAAACTATTGTTTAAGGAGTCTTTTTTGTTTTTTTGAAAAAATGTTTAATAAAAATTATTTTAAAAAAAGAAAGAAAAGAGAATGGTACAATGGAAAACTTATTACAGGTACTTCTCAACTTACGACCGCAATTGAGCCCCAGAGTTCTGTTGCTAAGCGAGACCTTTGTTAAGTGAATTTTGCCCCATTTTACGACCTTTCCTGCCACCGTTGTTAAGTGAATCACTGCACTTGTTAAGTCACACGGTTGTTAAGTCAATCTGGCTTCCCCATTGACTCTGCTGGTCAGAAAGTTGCAAAAGGAAACCACGTGACCCCGGGACACTGCAACCGTCATAAATATGAATCAGTTGCCAAGCATCCAAACGTAAATCACATGACCATGGGGACCATGAGGCACTTGTTTCAGTGCCATTGTAACTTCAAACAGTCACTAAATGAACTGTTATAAGTAGAGGACTACCTGCATTTGGATGCTTCTTTAGAAATTACCAATCTATTATCTGGCAATATAGCTGGGTATTCTTGATTTATTGCTATGGCAGAAGAATCAAAGAAAATCCATTCTCTGCTGCAAGTAACCGGCCCCAGAGTGCCAGCTGCATTAATTTCTAATAATGCCAGGGGCTTCCATCAGAGGCAGCAATATCATTCAGCAAGGCTCTGAAGGCAGCCAGGAGCCATGGATATTATCAGTCCTCTAATCTAGCCACTGTGCAGTATTCCCCAGTCCCTGTTCGCCTATCCCCACCAAGCAGGTGCGATCTTTAGCTACCATGCTGAGAGTTTAATTGCTGAAACCCAGGGACAGCTGCTCTTACGCATCTCCAAATTTGTTTCCAGCAAGCAGGTCTATCATCATCTATGCTATGGACGGTGATATTAATGGGGGTTGAGGGGTGGATATGCAATGATGCTCCTGGGACAAAGAATTTCATTCCCCCCAACATATATTTAAATCTCTCTCCTTTGTTCTTCTGCAACATTTGGGATAATCTAGAAAGCCTGACTGTTATTCTTACAAACAGGCAGGAAGAAAAAATATATCTTTCCTTTTAGGAAGGTATAGGCTGAAATCACTGTAGCCTGCATTTTCTAGCCTTGGTTGTACTTATTTGGTGTGAACACTCCTTTAAGAGCCACAGATAATATTTCAATCTCAATAGCTTCACAACAATAATATATCAACATCAATGTTTCTGAAAAGAGGTTGATAATCCAACAGATCTCAAGGATATCAGGTTGACAAATTTTGGTCTATATCTGGAGATGTAGTACTATGCTCGCTTGAAATAGGATTTTTTAAAATAATAATAATAATAATACTGTTTGGGATTTTATATAGAAAAATACGCTGTATGTTGGAGCTAAAGAAGGAGATACATACTGCAAAATATATTATAAACTAGGAGCAAGAAAATAAGATGCAAAATTAATAATCCTTTAATTATAAAGCTTGCAGAAAATTTAGTTATGTAAGAAAAATTTGATAGACACAAAAATTGAAAGCATGTAATTTCTTTTATCAAACAAAAGCAGAGCAAATGTCAATATATAGAACCTGCAGGAAAACATATTCTCCAATGTAGGACGATGTTGGCGTTAATAATAATTAAGCAGTAAAGTTTTTTTTCATTAAAAAGAAGTATACAATGGCTCAATAATAGCCTTCAAATGGTAAGGTAAAACAGGTCTATTGAAACTACAATTCTTGACACATCTGCAATCAATCCACACACATGAACATATATTTCAGTGGCAAAGTCTGTCAAATTTGCCATTGGCATTTGGTTCACTTCAAACTGAGTTTGCTCCAACTATCCATCATTATTTTGTCCCTGGAGGTAGATACCAGCAGCATCACATGCAAAATTTGGACCATAAATGTGGCTCCATAATTCCTACCAGAAACCTGGTAGAACAGGTGTGACTACAACGACCCAAGAAAGAAATAGACAAGTAATGACTAGTAAAAATTATTGCTGAAGGAAAATAATTTTGAGTGCTGGTCTGGGTAGACACCGTCTAAGACCATAGGGAAAATAAACATTGCCAAATTCACAGTCCTAACCAGAACTAACTCAGTAATGGATCATATGCAGTTAAAACATCATGCAATAACTCATCTGACTTTGTACAGAGGTAATTGCCACCTGGAGATGCTATAGAAGTAGAGACTTAAATGTTTTGTAGTTGTAACCTATTCTCTTCTGAAGAACCTGGGGCAGAGCCTTTTCTTCCAGATAAATGTAGGCCACCAAGCTTCTTCTAGGGAAAGGTGAATTATGTCTTGCACCAAATGGGAGATGCTACATAAGTGAGTTGTAAGATTTGAGGATAATCGTTTCAGCAGTGGAGATGGAATGAGCAACAGACACCACTATAGGATTTATCCAGGCTAACCAAATGTGCTGTCTCCTTGCACTTGCATCATCAATACTAATTCTTCACTCATATTCCAATCATTTGGAATGGACACAATTGGTACCATCTTAGCCAAGGGCTATTCTAGTATAAGCCCTGTCTACTTCCAGATCTGATTTTTACAGTTCAAGGACTTGCAAGAAACTAACTATTTCCTACACATCCCAAGCAGAATACTAAGTCAGGGACAATGTAGAAAATTAAATGGGAAGAAGCCCCAATTGCCAGAGCCACCTGAAATACACAGGGTTCACTGATGCCGGAAAGAGCTTGCCAACGATGATGGTTGTAGGGAGGTTTTTGAGCAAAAAGCCTTAGCAAAATAAAGTCTTAGCAAACTGTAGCACGCAGAAACTAATCAGAAGGCCTGAAATGCCATGTCTCTAATCATCTAAGCCCTGGCCAAAACTGTTCTTAAAGAATTAATTCAGCCATATTTATTCCCACTAGATCCAACTATACATAGAGGACATAACACCAGGAAAGCCTATTTTAGCTAAACTATTTTATAGACAACATCTATCCTATCCTATTAATAGGATTAGGAACTCCAGGTCTTTGGCAGCAAAGACATCTAGAAAGCTCTAAAACTTTCCTGACCTCTCATTGTTATCTGGATTTTCGTAGCCCAGATCTGGTAGCCCTCAATAAACCGACTTTTCCCTTTTTGACAAGCTACGCGGTGTTACATTTTTGTCGTGCATAATCAAACATATAAATATTCCTGTCATGGAAGAACTTTGTCATTTGAACATTTACTATCTTAAGATTTAATCACTGGCCCTTTTTACACGCTCTTGACACCATCAGCAGCTTCCTTTACTTTTAGCTATATGTTACTTATAAGTATCTATCTGTTGATGCTTGCAGCCCTGCAGCCCTTGGAAAGCTCTGAATTGGGATGGTGACATTTAATTTAAGTTAATTGCTAGGCATTAGGCACCCTAATAAAGAGGCAATGTAAGAAAAGAAGAGCATGTGGCTAATTAAAGGGGTTGTATCTTCAGCTCCCCTGACACATTTCTTCCACAGTATGCCAACCTGTGGCACAAATTTAGCAGAAGAGCAACTTATTTGTCTGCTCAAATAAAAATAGTCTTGAGGCAATGTAAAGACCAGCAAACTTTCAATGGCATAAATTTACATCGTCAAGATTTTTATGGGAACCCCAAGTGGCAAATACAGACAAACTATCCAAAATGCTTCATATGATAACCAAAACTCTTCGTGACAACTGCACCAAATTCTTTTCTTTCCCTGCTTTCTAAGTGCTGACAGAAGAACATCAATTCCTACTTAGAAATATTCACAAAATTCATTCTCCTGGCATCTCATGCAATCTGTCCTGGCCACTAAAAAGCCATTTTGATGCCTTCACATCATCATTCAGTCTAGCCATATATGAGACAAGTCAATCTTATTTGGGATTAATTTTGAGTGATTGACTGATTTCAACAGAAAAAAGAGGAAGAGGAGATATTTTTCTGGAAAATTGGCAACATAGAGAGAAGGAACTATTTTAGAATGAAGACTATGACAGTAAACTGGGGTAATGCAACAAGATTAATTGTTTGCATATTTTTCAATCTCCACCAATTCTACAATGTCTCTACCGAAAGAACCAAAAATGAGAGACTGGCAGCTGAATTTCTAAAAGGTGTCATCCATCCATTTGCACAACACCTATAAACTTAATCAAAGATTAGGGATCAGACTCAGTAATTTGTTTTTCATATGTGATTTTGTTTCCTTTCTTAATTGCTATAATAATTTTAGCTATAGCTTCTCAATTGGGCAATGAGGAAAACTTGAAGAAATAGAAATTGGATAAAATAGCTTCATTACTTCCTTCTGGTCTTATGTTCACATTGCTAAACCACAATTTTTTAAAAATCTGTTATTTTGTTAGCCAAGCCACACTTAGCTGGATTCACACATCACATAAACTATAAACTATAACTACAGCTGATATACCAGAATGGATATAACCATGACTTATAGTGATATAAACCAAATTTTATTATAGCCTAGTAGTATATTTGATCCCAGTCCATTAGCTGACACAAATTCAGACTAATACCTCCCACACCAAAACACACCTTACCTGTTACAGAAATTCTCATGGTTGCCTCCAAAGGTCTATTGTTATCCAGGGCCCTGCTCAAACGTAGTTCTCCAGTACTGTGGTTCAAGAGAACAAGTTTCAATTCATTGCCTTGCTCAAAACTGTATGTAAGACTATCAGAAACATCAGGATCATAAGCTGGGATCCTGCCAATCACTCCAGTGGGGAAACTGCTGGACTTGTTGGTGATGTAGTTATTGAATATGATCTCAAAGTTCTTCAAGACTGGGACATTGTCATTCCTATCCAGTAAACGAACATGCACAGTAGCCCGGCTTACCAGTGGAGCTGAAGTAGCTTGGACTACTATGACATACTCAGACTTGGTCTCATAATCCAAATCCATCAATGCTGTCAACTCTCCTGAGAAGATATCAAGTTGGAAGACCTCCGGAATATTACCTTCCACTATCTGATACATAATTTGAGCATTGGTACCCTCATCTGGATCACTGGCAGTGATTCGGGACACCACTAAGCCTATTGGACTATTTTCTTCCACAAAGATGTCAAACTCATCATGTTCAAAGACAGGGGGGTTGTCATTGACATCAAGAATAGTGATATGGACATCAATTGGAGTCCTCATGGCCGGTACTCCTTTATCAACTGCATATGCTCTAAGCTCATAGAGTGGAACATTTTCCCTGTCCAGTCTACGCAACGTCCTAACAATACCAGAGGTGGTTTCAATTATGAAGTCTCCATCACCATCATCTCCACCCTGAAAGGTATAGAACACTCTCCCATTCATCCCAGAATCTCTATCTGTAGCAGAAACCTGTAGGACACTTGTGAAACCAGGTACATCCTCATAGACAGATCCTTGGTAATTATCCCTTAAAAACTGAGGTGCATTGTCATTTACATCATTAACTAGTATTTCTAGATAGGTGGTATCTGATTTCTGTGGGATGCCATTGTCACGAGCTGTAATTGCCAAAGTATAGGATACTTGGTCTTCATAATCCAATTCCATCTGAGTTGTCACAGCACCAGTATCTATATCAATTTTGAACTGAGGAATACTGTCCTCCATGAAGTAAGTGATGCGAGCATTCTCCCCTGTATCTTCATCCGTAGCACTGATAATAACTACGGTGGTACCCACTGGACTGTCCTCATTGATGTTAACAGTGTAATGGGAACTCTGGAACACCGGTCGATGTGTATTAGCATCAGTTACATTAACAAAGACCTGAGCTGTGTCAAACCGAGTGCCATCAGAAGCTGTGATTGTAAGAAGGTACTGCCGCTCTAATTTATAATCCAAGGGTAGGGCCAGAGTGATGAGACCACCACCACTCTGGCTGGTGATGGAGAAGCGATTGCGAGTATTCCCATTCGTGATCTGGTAGGTGATGACACTGTTGACATCCCGATCAATGGCTGAGACAATAAGAACACTGGTACCCACCGCTGCATCTTCATTGAGACGCATGGTATATTCCCTTTGCGTGAATTCAGGATTGTTATCGTTGACATCCAGAACAGTAATACTAACACTTGCTGAAGAAGTCATTGGAGGGTTACCATGATCTCTGGCCTCAACCCCAAATTTATAGAAGTCCACAGCTTCACGATCCAAACCAGAAGCCACTACAATCCAGCCTGTGTTGTTATTGATAGTAAAAGGGAAACCGGGACTCATATCAACCAGAGCATATTCAAGTCGGGCATTCTCCCCAGAATCTGCATCAATGGCTTGGATGTGAATAACAGAATAGCCCACAGGTACATTTTCCAACACTGTGGACTGGAAAGGGGTGCTAACAAAGATAGGGGCATTGTCATTCACATCCAGTACCTGGATGGTCACCAGCCCACTGATGTTGGAAAGGGGCGGCCTTCCTCCATCTTGGGCCCTAATGCGAAGAGTGTATTCCTTATTCATCTCATAATCAAGCTGGCTGACTACATCAATATTACCTATTTGGGCATCTATGTAAAATTGTCCCCGAGTGTTGCCACTCATTATGCTATAATGCACCATAGCATTGCTGCCTTTGTCCCTGTCTGTGGCATTTACCTGCAGGATGTGGGTGTTTGAAGCAACATTCTCGGGTACCTGTACAACATAACGTTTCTCACTGAACTGCGGTGAGTTGTCATTGTCATCCTCCACTGTAATATGAATTGTGGCCGTGCTGCTGCGTGCTCCTGGGTCTCGGCCCTGGTCATTGGCCTCCACTATCAGCTGATAGGATTCCACAGCTTCTCTGTCCACAAGGCCATTGGTGCGGATGACTCCAGACTTGGGGTCAATCTCAAAGATCCTGTTGACCCCGTTCCCGTTCAAGATGCGGTACAGGATGTTGGCATTGGGGCTTGCATCGCCATCGGTTGCTCTCACCGTCAACACTTCGTAGCCGACCTCAAGGTTCTCCCGCATGCTCTCCTTATACTCCTGCTGCTCAAACACAGGATCGTGATCGTTGGTGTCACTGACAGTGATTGTGAGTGTGGCCAGCGCTGTGCGACGCGGTATGCCGTGGTCTGTTGCCGTCACCCGGAACACATGGGTGCTTTTGGTTTCTCGATCCAGCTCTTCAGCTGTGGTCACGGCTCCTGTCTGGGGATCAATGGCAAAGAAGCTGTTGGAGCGGCTGTCAAAGAGGGCATCCATGGAGTAGTCCAATCGGCCCGCGTCCCCCTCATCAGGGTCCATGGCCCTCAGCAAGATCACAGGTGTGCCTGCTGGTCTGTTCTCCGGCACTGATACTTGGTAGGTGGGCATCTGGAACTGGGGGCCGGTGTTCACATCCCGCTTCCTTCTGCTACCCCCCTCTCCTTGGCAACCGCACCCCTCCGAGGGCCACAGCTTCTCCATCTCCTGCTGCGAGGAGCCCACAGCCAGGAGCCAGTGGACTGAGATCTCCTTCTTCTCATCGCAGAGTTGGCACGACAGCCCCAACCGTAATGGGCGTCCCGGCCGGAGACACAGGGTTCGTGGGGGCAGTATCAGTTCTCCCCGGGGATGCAACGGCCCACGCTTGTCTCTAACGTCGCCTTCGCCGCCGCCTCGCACCGCGCACCTTAGCTGGCAGCCGCCCCGCGAGCTAGCGGGCGGCAAAGGAATGTGGGTGCCCGGTTTCAAGCACAGAGTCCGGCTTCGCCCTCTGCGGAATCGGCCGGCCGGAACCGGGGCCAAGAGAAGGTGGCTTAACAGCAACAGCTCTCCATCCTCGCCCGCCGCCGCCGCCGCCGCCGCCGCCGAAGCACCATCGCACGGCGGCCCCAGCAGGTGCGCCCAGAGGCCGCGGGCCGGACGCGAAACCCGGCAAAGCCACAGCGGCGGCGGCTCGGCGCAAGCGGCCGGTTCGCCCGGTGGTGACAGCGGCCGCTCAGGCAGCCGAGGGTCCCTGAAGGGGGCGCAGAGAGGGGGCGGTTCGGGGCCGTCGGCGCGGGAACGGGGGATCCCCAGCGCCAGCAGTAGCAGCACAGCCCGGCCGGGGGCGCCGCCACCGCCGCCGCCGCCCATCTCCCACCGCCCGCAGTCCGGTTTTCGTTTTGTCCGTCCAGCGATCAGCAATTGCGCTTCATGCCAAATGGGAGATCCGGGCCGACGGGCTCTCCCCGCCGGGTTCTCCCGATGAGCCCGAGCAGGTCCGCCGCCGCCGCCGCCGCCGCCTGCTCTCTCCCGCCGCAGCCAGCTAAGGTCTAGCCGCCTGCCAAGCAAGCCCGGCTCGCCTCCGCTGCGGCAGCAGCTCTGCGAGGCTCATTTCCATAGACCTGCGGCTCTTAAAGGAGCCGCGTCAGCCTCGCTGCTGAGAAAAAAAAAAAAAAAAAAACTGGCGCGCGGTGGGGCCTCCCTTCTGCCCGCCTCTTGTGGGCAGCAGCCACCTCAGGGCAAGAGGCCTTCTCAGCCGCCTCGCACCTCTGCTCCAATGGCTACGATCCACCGCAAAAGCGCAGAGCGTGCCACAGAGAGGAATCCGGGGCTTCCCTCAATACCTTCCACCAATCAAGGACTGTAGAATCGCGGGGGGGGGGGGGGGGGGGGAGTCCTCCCCGCGCGGCGCATTTCCAAGTTCCTCACTTGAGACCAAGGTTGAAAGGCGGCCTTGAGTGCTCAGCCCTCGAAGCCCAAAGCAGTCAGAAAGAGGCTGCCTGTGAATGTGCTTTTCCTTTCACCTGTTGGAGAATGAAACAAGAGCACTTCCAGGCAGGCAGCTCTTGAGACTTGTGAATCCAAAGAGCAGTGTTTCTCAACCTTGGTAGCTTGAAGATGGGTGGACTTCAACTCCCAGAATCCCCCAGCCAGCGCTGCTGGCTGGGGGTTTCTGGGAGTTGAAGTCCACCCATCTTCAAGCTTCCAAGGTTGAGAAACACTGCCAAAGAGGTTGCCCCAAAATGATCTCTGAAACGATGCGAGGAGGTCAAAAAAACATGGTGGGGTTGAAAAATGAAAGACAATTGGCCTTCCCCAATGTTCCACCTTGTGAAAGTGGAGTAATTTCACAAGAAAAGTCATCTTTAAAAAAAAAAAAAAAAAACAAGGGGAGAGGACTCCATTCCAGAAGATGGAATGTTTATGTTGACTATTTCTAAAACCTATAATATTTGATCATTTTGTTTATTGCCATAGACATTAGTTATCACTTATTATTAGCAAATATGGTCTTCTCAGATGGGCTCATTTTGGTCAACAAGGTTTGTAGAAGGAGAAGGAGAAGGAAAAGGAGGAGAAATAGAAGGCAACACTACTCCAAACCAGCAATTGTTCTTTATCTATACAAGGTAGGTACAGATATGCATAAAGATCAGCAGACAAAAAACAGTTCATGTTTGGATCAGCAAAGGAAACATCCCCAGTGTCCTGCTGAAATAGGATGTTCCTGGCTGTCCACAAAGAACTTCTTCACAAAAGGATCCCATGTTGTGGGTCTCACAGCAAGAAAGGCTGTGTCTGTCCTATAGTAATGGGGAGAACTTGGCAGAAAGTCCCAGGAAAAAAAATGCTCAGGTAGGTTCACAAGGCAGGAAGAATTCAGCGGGATCCACCCCAAAGCCCCTCTGACCCAACATTGGGACCCTACTTGAATGGTCCTTCAAGTATCCATGGAAGGATCACCAACATGACATGAGAATTCATGTATCTTTTTTATTTTTGAGCAAAGGCGGCTGGAGTTAACATGTGGAACTTTCATATTCCATCAAGCCACAGATTCTTAGAACCATGAAGAAGCCATAATGAACAGATCCATATACAATGCAAAAGTATAAATAACTTTTACAAACTTGCAAATTAAGCCATAACTTGTTCACTGATTTTTAATTCTTGAATTAAGAGTATCAGAAAAATTCAAACATTTGAAAATACTGAATGAAAGTGTTTGTTTTTTAAAAATGATAGTCTGATTCTCCGTTATGTTTTGTTAAAACTTCTGAGCCCACAGCATTAGCAAATCCAATTAGCAAATCCAACTTCTGAGCTCACAGCATTAGCAAATCCAATAGTTTACATTATGTGAGATACTTTGTTTTGTCTTTCTTTTCCTATTGTCAGCTTACTTGGATGATTTACTATTCTGAAAGGGAGAAAAAAATATGCATTCACATCACGATATAATATAATACATCACTATCAATGTCCCCATTCACCTTTTCCCCTTAAGCTATACTCCCCAAACTTAATACAATGAAAGTCCCTTAATCATTCTGCTGTTTTCTACATCTTTCCCATCCCAAAACAATCTTTTTGGGAGTACAGTAATAAAAATGTGCACATTAAAGGAGGAGAGACATGTTAGTTGGTGGCAGAAATCAGGAAGAGCTTAATAGCATCTCATGAAAACTTACGCCATTTAATACAATTTGCTAGTTGGAAAAAGTGCTATCAGACTCCTGAAAACTCTACACAGTATCTCAAGGCTACAACATCATAATTGTCTATGTGGGAACCACAGTATTGGCAAAAAAAAATTATTCTTTTCATATGCATCCTCGTGTAAATTTGTAAGGATTTCATTGTAGCCTATTGATTATTGTATACATTAAAGCTTATACTAAAGGGAGGTGTAATGGCAAAAAAAAAATAGGAACCCCTAATCTAATATAACACAAGCATGAACAGTCTGTTCTGCAGACAAGCAGAATTAATTTCCACTGAAGACATAAAGCAAATAGATTATGTGTGAGATTTCCGCCATTAAGGTTCATAGAAAACTGTCCTTCTGGTCCATATATCTGAGTTTGATTCTTACAGATGTTGTGATGAGTTACAAACATAACTCTTCCCCAGCAGTCTTGGAGAAGCAGATGCTCAGCTAGTCTATATTGTAAAGCATGAAACCTTTCTTCATCTGCTACCCTACAGGTGTATTGGATTTGAATTTCTGTAATTCACAGTAGTATGAATTGATTGCTAAGATTCCCAGAGTGGAGGTAGCAGGTAGAAGTCTGCAGATCATCAACAGCTATAAGCGGAACACTTCAGCATCTGAAGGAGGGCCCAGGAACCCACCTTGTAGTAATATTCCTTATACTTCTCAAAACAATTTTGTCAGATGCTCCTTTGAAATCTTCTACCTGCATTCAGCACACAATTTATATTTAGCAAATGTAGGATGCTGTATGTGTGAAGTTTAGCTCAAGCCATTCAAGATGGCAGGGAATCCATATGCCACAAAGCTTCTTGCATGTAATGATTTGTCATCTCTCCTTCTTAGATATGTTGGTTAATACATAGCTACCTGTGCACGCCTGTTGTTTAGGCAAACTGAGTTGCTTGGCATAGTCATGAATGTAGAGCCAGTCCCTCACGTTTTATATCAGACTGAAGGCATTAGGCTTGATCCTGGGACTATGGATCACTGTGGAGGCCTTGCGAAGAGAGATGACTCCTGGGTGGGTAGGTGGGAAACAGCAGAAAAAATGTGTGTGATGAAGCACTGGAGCATGTTCAGAAGGAGCCAAAGAATATGCAGCAAATATCACTGGACTAATGCACAAATTTGGAGGCATGGAGGTGAAAAGAAAGTCTGGACAAAAAAGTGAATGGGGCCTGAAAAAACATTTTCTTTTTTAAAAAAAATTTTTTTAAATTTTTTATTGTAAACACATTAAAACAAACACACAAACATGCAACATTTATATACATAAACTCTTTTTACAGCTTTCGTAGTGATCCTTTCTTAATATTTACTATTTATACAGATTTTAGCTTTATCTTGTTCCATATTGCTATCTATCTTCTTTATCATCTACATTTTACTTGACCGTTACATTACAACATTTATGTTGTAATTTACCAATTTTCCCCCTTAATTTTAACATTTCTGAAAAAACATTTTCATTACATTAATATTACGTTACATTAATTTCATATAATTAGTTGGTGATTTTGCTTTTCTATCATATTAAAAAGTAAAACATGACGTCTTTTGGAAGGGGTCTGAGGACCACACCTGAGGCTTTCTGGGGATGTTCATGGCTTTGGGTCTTGAATTGTATACTTCCGCATTTGATGGACCATGTGCCTGGGCTGTTCCAAATCAGCATCTGATCATCCTAAAATCTAAGATTCCTCTTTCTAACCCGTAAGACTATTGATTAGGTCAACTCTTAATCTGTTCTTTGAATCAAGGCAATTTTTCTGAAGAAGATTTCATTCAACCCACTGTTGTGTCACAGGGCTGGCCTAAACTAAAGAAGCCTGAGCGCAAGAATCTGTCTGAGTGATAAATACAGATAAGCATAAATAGTAAAATTATGCTGGACAGCAGCCTTAACTAGTACCCACATGGTTCCTTATTTCTCCAGTCTCCAACAGCTGGTCCAGCCCCAGTGGTTGACTGTCTGGATCCAAAGTCAGAGCTAAGGGCTGGATTCTGTATTTTCCTTCTATCTCATTCATCTTTTTTCCTTTTCACACCAGCTTTTGCAGCACATCTTGCTTGTGTACATTTTTGTATCCATAAGAAACCACAAGGGCTGCTCTTAGAATAGTCTTTCTTAAAAGGGCAATGCCTCTAGTTTTCCCACAGCAACACTCATTGCAGGTGCATGCATCTATGAAAAGTTTCAACTAGTGAGCTGGACAAATGCCATAATACCAGCACTATGTTTGTCATATACATAATGGCAATGTGCAATCAATGTTCCTATTACAGTTGTTAAACATGTTTAAATCTACATTCCAATAATCTCTTTAGAAATATAGATAGATAGATAGATAGATAGATAGATAGATAGATAGATAGATAGATAGATGATAGATAGATTAGAGAGAGAGAGAAATGATAGATAGCATTTTTAGAAAATGAATGCTGAAAGCCAATTCTTTCTACAATATAATATGAAGACATACAGTAGTTAAATCCTCCATAGGTCAGAAAAATTTTGCAGCAAAAATTTTTCTCTTCTCTTGCTTTTAAACATTTGCATTTATATGTTTGTGCAATGGTTATTTGCTACATTATTTTCCACTTTTTACACAATCGTATAAAATAAGTAACTGTACCAAAATCACCCAGGGAGCTTCCTCCATCTATAAAGCTGGACTTGAAGCTGGATTTCCTGGGTCCTAATCCAAGGCTTTAACTATTACATGCCATTGGTTTATGATTAATGCAGTGCATTATGATGGAAGGAGGAGGAGGAGGAGGAAGTGGGAGGAGGAGGAATTTGAAACACCCAACTATTCATATGGTACTTGAGAAAAGCATTAAAAACAGAATGTATCAGATAGTATATAAGGGCTTAGCGTTCTCCAATCTGATGTCTTCCAGTTGTTGACATAAAGTCTCCCTAAATAGAGCTTGATCCCATAGATATGCCTGTGCAGTCATCTTCACAACAGTGTGTAAGTGGTTTACCACTGTCTTCTTATGGAATGACTCTTTTTACTTCTCAGTCTAGTAGTCTATAGTCGTGGAGTTCCCATCCAGTTGCTAACCAAGCTACACCCTACTTAGTTTT